AGAAAAGAAAAATCATGCATGTTTCCAATTATAATCAATGTGATAATTATCCAGTACTTTATAAATAATTTCCTTTGTAAATACAAATACAGATATCCTGGTGACTGCCGAAAAAAAGCTCATACAATATACAGATTTGTGTGTGTGTGTGTGTGTGCATGGTGTGTTGTGTGTGTGCATGTGTGTGTGGTGTGTGTGTGTGTAGGTAGGTGTGTGTTTTTAAAGGGGGTATGTGTGTATAGGGGGATTTAGGTGTATGAGGTGTGTGTGTGTAAAGGGGGGAGGGTGCAAGTGCTCTCTTTCTCTGACTCTTCTGTATGTCTGTTATATTGAGTGTGTTTTGTGCATATGTGTTGAGTGATGGGGGGCGGCATGTGTCTGCATCTGTCCGTCTGTGTTTTTCGTGTGTGTGTTACTATGTTGTGTGTGTGTGTGTGGGTGTGTGTGCGGTATGTGTGCGTGCAGCGTGTGTGTGTGTGTGGTGTGTGTGGTGTGGGTGTGTGTGTGTGTGTGTGTGTTGTTTGTGTGTGTTGGTGTGTGTATGCACATGCTCGTGTGTGAACTTGCATGTGTGTGGGTATGTATGTGTGTGTGTGTGTGTGTGTGGGTGTGTTGTGGTGTGTGTGTGGTGTGTGTGTGTGTGTGTGTTTTGTGTGTGCACATGCATTTGTTGTCTGTGTCTGTGTCCATCTGTCTATCTGAGTCCATGTGTGAGACCTGCATGTGTCTGTTCTCTGTATATCTGGTGTTTTGAATGTTACATGTATGTATGTTGATTTATATATCTGAGCAGTTATTGTATTATACCTATAATATGTGTGTATATTATGTGTGTTGTAATGTGTTTGCAAGCACAAATATGTTTGTGTGTTCTGCCTATGTGTGTGTTGTCTTTTCTGTAAAGACACAGATGTGTTATATGAGGGCATGCATGTTTACGTGTGTCTATCTCTCTGTCCTGTTGTTGTGGATTGCTGGTGTGTGTTTTGTGTGCTCATTGTGCACTGTGTGTGTGTTGTGTGTGTGTGTGTTCGTGTTGTGTGTGTGTGTGTTCCATTGTGTGTGATGTGTGTGGGGCAGTATTCTTAACTGTCCCCTTCTCTCATTTATTTCGCACATTCTAGCTTGCTGTGTTGCATTTGTTGTACATATATCTGTTCTTTCATTGTGTGCATGCTTTTTTGTGTTGTGTGTGTGGTGCCTGTTTGCTTTGTTCTATGTGGTGTATTGAGGGCATGCATATTTTCATGTGGATTCAATCTCTCTGTACTGTGTTGCATTGTTGTTGTGGTTGTGTTTATGTGCTGGAGGGTGGTCAAATGTGCGGCATGGATAGGAGTTGGTTGTAGAATAAAGGGTTTGTGTGCTATGTGGGGCTTGTGTGGTGTGTTGTGTGTGTTGGTGTGCCCGGATGTGGTGTGCGGATGAGTGATTGACGTAAATTGCAGTTGTTTTTTTTCTCGTCTTTATAGTTATTTTGTTGGTTGCTCTTCCCTAATTTTATGGGTTGTGTGCGTGTTGTGTTCTACATTCTGCCTTCCTTCTGTTGTCGGTGGTGTGGTCACTTTTGACTGTGTGCATATAGTAATCCTGGTCTCCCTGGTGCATGTCCCTTGTTGTGTGTTTCTCTTTCTTTTATGTCGCATTTTTGCATATTGATCCGCACGGTTTTGCTCGCCCTTTTCCTTCGGGGCGGTATATCTGGACTTGTTCTCTGGGGTCCATCCGATTTCTTTCGTATGTGGTGGAGTAAACTAATCTTTCCACACCTTATATATGATCTGCACACATAATTTTCCTTCCTCTTTGGCTAATCGTTACTATATAAGATATAATTCATTTCGTATATTTTATTTCGCTTTTTCTTTTCTGTCAAAAAATGCTGATACCGTGTAAAGCGGAAGTAATCATGAAATAGAAAATTATGCCCCGGGAATCGACGAAAATATAAACGTAAGAAGTTGATTTAATCCTCTTTAATTGTCAATGAAAGCCTTCGTGGGTTTCGCTCACAGGATCCAATGCCACAACGACGTGTAGGGTCGCGGATCTATACTTTTGTCGTTTCTGATTCCTTTCGAGATATAGGGGGATGAAGGGAGGGTGTGCAGGGTACGAGTCTATTGATGGAGGGGAATCAATCAGCAAATATGGGAAGATTATACAACAGGATTGAGAGGGAAAGTTCTTCGATTTGTGTATTGATGATTATCATTGTATTATATATATATATATATATTATATTATATATAGGTATTATATATTATAAGTATATATGTATTATGTATGTATGTTAATATATATATATATAATATATAATATATATGTTGTATGTATGTATGTATTATATATATATATATATATATGTATGTATGTATGTATATAATGTATATATATATATATTTTTTTTTGTGTGTGTTGTGTGTGTGTGTGTGCTTTGTTTATGCAATGAAGCTGAAAGTCGAAGACATCCATAGCTGTAGGATATTGCTGAAAGGCCGTCGGCTGGGAGCACGCTTGCCTTGACTAAATGAACAGAAGTAAATGTATGTTTGTGTATTAGATAGATTGATAGATTGACAGAGAGAGATATAAACATATACATGCAGGTTCGAGAATATACTTCAATACGAAATACGTGATATTTATGTCCACAAATAATGGCATTAAGATTATTTTTTCTAATAAGCAAATTATATTAAAACTTATCAAGTTACATGCTATATGTTGCAACTCACCTCATACCATCCTATTTGCCTTTCATTAAGATTTAGTTGCAATAAAAACCATTGACACACATGTATACTTAAATATACATAAGATATTAATGTACACATGTGTAGATACACTAGTTCGCACTGGTATGTATTTGCATTTGCATATGCGTATATTGGGATGTGAAAAACATACATACTCGTAGATACGTCGCTCACCTGCCACTAGTATCCCTCCTTTTCAAAGATAATCGTAATAATTAATATAAGATCTTGCCCACTCTCACCATCCGACGTCAGAAAGAGTGAACAAGCAGCAACGCCAATAAGCTATCGGCGTTATGAAGGTGCGATTATTTTCCTTTCGTTCTTTCTTTGTTCTCTTTTTTTTAAGTCGGAGAGGTGGGCCGAGGGAGAAGTACCGGTGGCAGTCACATGACAGTTCTCTTGGTCATTCTTTTCCTTCCCTTTCTTTCTTTCTTTGGTTCTTCCACTTTTCCTGCAGGTCTCGTATTCTCTCTATTGATTATCTTTCTCTTTCTTTATATTTCTCTCTCTCTGTCTCTTCCTTTATTTCTGTTTCTCTTAATGTTTTTTTTCTCTTTCTGGCTTTATCTCTCTCTGGCTCTCTCTCTCTCTCCTCTCTCTCTACTTTATATGTATATGTGTGTGTGTGTGTGTGTGTTTCTGTGTGTATGTGTGTTAAGCGTATGTTGTGCATACACACATGCATAACCTGCATGAATATATGCATACGTGCAAAGGGTACTCATATCCAGACATCAGATGAGTTAGAAGTTGAAATCACACGATTGTCAATAAACTTCGAACAGCAAGGTAAACTCACCTGTATAAACATGTGCTTTTTAGAGTGATTACTTCTGCATGAACGACTCCCTCCCCACCCCACCCGTTCGTTACCCCCCCCCCCTTTACTCATGACGACACCTGTGGTCTGACTCATTCCTCAGGTGGGTGCGAGGACTCATTAATGAGGTCTTTTCCTTCTAAGTATATTTATTTCCCGGTTTGTTATTGTTGTTGTTTTGACATTTGGGTCGTTTGTGTGATGAGGGGCTGTCATTTTCTCGTACTGTCATTAATTACAGCATCATTATTATCACCTTCATAATTGTCGCCCCCATTCACTTCACCTCCATCATTATGAGATAGCGTGATGACGGAGATGAAGTTAATGACTTCACCTCACCCCCCCCCCCACCGCCACCACCTACACCCTCCCCATCCTCCCATTGCCCCCCCCCCTTCACTTCCCTCATCATCACCACCACACACCCCTCCCCATCCTTCTCATCATCACCATACTTTCCCCATTCTTCCATGGCCCCGCCCTCTTCACTCTCATCATCATCACCCGCCCTTTCTATCCTCCTCATCACCTTTATACCCTCCCCTCCCCCTTCATCTTCCTCAACACCAACCTCTTACCACTCTCTTCCTCATCACCACTACACCCTCCCCATCCCCCCACCCCTTCACCGTCCTCCTCATCACCACCACACCCTCCCATCCCCCTTCACCGCCCTCCTCATCACCACCACAGCCTCCCCATCCTCTCTCACCTTCCACCCTCCCCATCTATCCCTCCCCCTTCACCCTCCTCATCACCCCCCTCCTCATCTCCTCTCCATCACCATAAGCATCATCACCAGAGAGTAACAGCGCCGGAGAAACCCTGAGATGAAGCAGATCCTCAGCATCCCGGGATAGACATCTGGGGGTCGTAACTGGGGATCTTCTTGGCAGGGAATGGATGTGGACGAGCGGGTGGGTGGATAGGGTGGGTAGGTGAGTCGGTAGGGTGGGTGTGTAGGTATGTGGGTAGATGGATGGAATTTTGGATGGGTGGGTGGATAGGCGGGTGGTGGGTAGGTGGGTAGGGTAGGTTCGGTGGGTGGCTGGGTGGATAGACAGACAAACAGAGAGAGACAGAGATGGGTGGGTAGGTAAGTAAGTAGTTGGGTGGATGGGTGGGAAGGAGTGAGGAGGTGGGGAAGTAGGTAGGTAGGCAGGTAGGTAAATAAACAGACAGGCAAATAGAGAGAGACAGAAAGAAAGGTAGATAGGTCGGTGGGTGGATGGAAAGGTAGGTAGGCAGGAAGGAAGGTCTATAGGGAATAGGGTGAGTGGGTGGGTAGATAGGTAGGATTTGTGAGTAGACAGGTTGGTAGGTGGGTGGGTGGGTAGGTCGGTAGGTAGATCGGAAACTAATGAGGGAGGTGGGTAGGTAGGTTGTTGGGGAGATAGGTAGGTAGGTAGACAGAA